AGAGATGCTACTGTGGAAGTCATCCTGTGCTTGCGGTGATCTTCTGTGGAGCAACAAGGGAGGTCTTTCTTTTTAGATCACTGATATAAGAGTATCAGAGAAAATATGTTTCTCCTGAATTCCTAACGTCTTATTCCTTATGTGTTTACCTTTTCTTTTGGCTGCCAGAAAATTTAGTCTAACTTTTGATTCACCACTAGCAATTTTAAAGAACTATATAGTGTGTATTTCATCAGACTGATTGTATTTTTCTATCTTTATTTTCTCCTAATCTAATTCCCAAATGTTTATCTTATAATTATATATGTTTGTGTATTTATATAAAAATGTATGTAAGTTTGTAAGTTATGTATATGTATGTACCTTAGATACATCAAGTTATTTATAGAATGAATAGAATAAGACAAGGCAGTAATATTTAGAAAAATAAGATCAACAAGCATTCTGACACAATGCTTACCACAGACATGATATTTTTATATAATATATATTCTACTATTTTCCAGGGATAGAGATGTGTGCCAAATCTTCTTGCCTGTAAGTAAAAAACAAAATTACAAGGCAATGTAAGGGACGAAACTTACTCCTATCTTTCACAACTAAGGTCTTATGAATAGACCATGGACCATCAAGCCAAACAGATGTGGATTCCCGGTTCATCTTAGGTCAGGCCATTTGGGGAAGTAGCATGAACAGCCCAACCTCCAAGAGCTTAAGCTTCCTCATTCCAAAATTGGAGAGAATTATTTTTTGCCAGATGTTTGTAAGGGTTAAATGAGATTAAATAAGTTTGACACATAATACAGGCTCAAGCGATGCTGGTTCTGGTGTTAGCCATCTTCTGCACAGAAATCTCTACTCACTAGAAATTCCTACATATACACTAGACATTCTGCAGATGTTTAGTAAATGAATTGTGATGAAGAATTTATAGGGACCTATTTTCCCTTACTGGAATTGGCTGCACAGGAAGAAATTTACTATAACTTTACATCCAGAAGGGACAAATGCTTAATAAATTTTTTTAAGTGATGGTGTCCAGTGCTTGTAAAAATGTATATGTGGTGTGTGTTTCTGCTTGTTGAGATATGGTCAGTCTCACATAATGCTACGTGAGTATATATGAATATGCCACAGATTGTCTGAAGAGGTCTTTGGACTTGTGCATATTATTTAATTTTGATCTAGAAACCATTTTAACACTTTTGATGAAGAGTAATTAAGACTAGAAATATATATACAAATATGTTCATGCAATATTATTTATCATATTAAATTGGTTAGAAATCTACACATTCAAGAGCAGATGATTGGGTAAAGGAGAATGGCTTTAAATAATTGAATTTTAACTGGCCATTATAATGAGACAGCAAAGCATATTACTTGACATGAAAAAAGGTACGTAGTATACTGTTGTGATAAAAGAAAAGAATTTGAAACACCATATACAGAATGACCTGATTTTTTGGAATTAATTCGTACTTCCGTAAAGGAACAAAAAATTACGAGAGTGTATTTTTTTAAAATAAGAAGAATGGTTATGGTTGTCTCTGCAAATGGCAGGTGACTTGTACTTCTTTTAGCCTATCCATATTTCCTAACTTTTCAGTAATAAAGATCTACTACTTACGGAGTAAGAGTCGTTAACTGAAAGACAACTGCTACCAGTCCCTTCTGCATTTTGCTTTTCTGGTGTTATATAGTAAGGCAAGTGGTTTAGGAAAGAATTGAGCATCACATGCTGCTTTTACAATGTGGTCCACATTCCTGTCTTTTTTCTTTCTTTTTTTAAAAATAGATGTAACTGACTGACCTTAAACAGCCTAAAAACACAATAGTTGAGAAGGAGTTTCGTGGGGAGGGTGACTGGGCTTGTGAGATGTTATCAGCACCATTTAGATTCTCTCTCTTTTCTTTTACTTAAGACATGCTGCTATTTGACAAAACTAACCATCCTACTTATTTGTTACAATAGAAATCAATTGCCAGACAGGTCATTTAGTGGAACTTTTGAGCAGTTTTTTGTCACTTTTGATTATCTGGTAGTGCTACAGAAATTTTAATATAAACTTTCAACTGTTAATTACTTTTAGTGATTAGAGTAAACCGGTATCTAGACATCCTGCATGTTATCAAATTAAAGAAGTACATTCTAAGTAGGAAGTAGTACATTCCTACTCAAAAGAATTATCACATATATTCTTAGCCAACCTAATAACATGCCAATAAATTGATGTATAATACGCAGTCTTTAGTATCTAACTTATTACCCTGGAAGGGCTTGAATTTGAAGTGGGAATGTCTGGTTTCTCTGATAAATGTCACCTGCCAAATAATGCTGTTTTTGGCTCTTGAATTCAACATAATAGTCATTTTCCTGTATTTTTAAAAAAGAAATGAATAAATACATCTACACTAGGGCTAAAGTGGTCTGTAAAATGCATTTGTATGATCTGGTTGAGAAGGCAAAACACACACAATAGGAGGACCATCTAAGAGGTGTAAATGGCTAGGGTGTATTTTCCCAAAACACTGCCTGTACTCGTAAAATGAAGCGGTTTGGAAACAGGTCCCACCCTCTTCCACTGACCTTTGGCTCCCATACGTCTTCCTCTCTACCCACCTTCTCAAAATATTCCCTCAGAAGCCTTTTACTCAACCTAAAAATAGCTCCCAGATGTCTTGCTACTTCACTAGGTAGCCTCTCTCTCCTTTACTGAGATTGTATGATTAGGAAAGACAGCAGAAGGGCCTTAACAATAGGACCTTTCTTGGTTCAAAATAAGTTCATTGCTTGGCAGATCTTTTATCTTTTTATGAGTACTGCAGAAATGTAGAAAACTGTTTTCTGTAACTTTATTTATAAATAAGGTTTGGAAGTTTTAGCTCAGTTCTTTGGTTTATAGTTTAAATTTACATGTCACTAATTTTTGGTGGTGCTGCCTCATATATTAAACTAATGAGTGACTTAAACGCTAACCATCTTGCTAAATGTCTTCATTGAATTCTTCACTTACATTGCCATCAAGTATATCCGGTTTTCCCACATCCTATGATTAACAAGTATCACTGAATTCCCTGTCAACGTGGTGGATAAGTGGTTTAACCCTGAGCTTCCATTCTAGAAATAAAAGTCAAGTAAATTAAAAAACCTTTGCATAACACACCTTGGTGAACCAACATGTTTTAAATAGGGCAAAATATTTCAAAGGAGAGTCTTTGTTAATAAGAAAATAGATACCTGTGGTAATTCCTGTCCCCTACTCCTGACTTACTGTGGGTAAAGTTTGTAATTTTGCTGTGGTGGTTACAAAATATCCCTTACCTATGGCCAAACTTGCAATAAAATATCTCCAATAAGAGAGGCAGTGAGACCTGGCTACATTCACAGGCAAGGCATTCGTTTTCAAGAAAGAGTGTTGTTGGAGAACCTCCCTCCTTATTAGTCTCTTTTGTCAACATTTTCAAGCATGGAAAGGGAACAGACCATAGTATGTGACTTTGGGATTCGAATAAAACTGTAAAAATCATGTTTTCATAAGAACAAGAAGTCAGAAAGTAGATCTTCATTGGTTTTCTGCCTGCCATGCAGAATGGCCCCAAGACCTGGTGTGTGCGCCAGCATATCAGCTGACGGTAAAGCAGCATCATCATATTAAAAATGGGGTTCATCAAGCCTTGCTTTCAAATGAACAAAGTTTAAAAAAAGCTTCCAGGTTCAGAAATGTTCTTTGTGCTGTTATAATTAGGTCAACCAAACATTATTTGGTCAACATTAAACCAGAAAGCTGGGTAGCAGTTGAAGTCACAAATAGTTTTCTGTGAACTTGGATGTCTTGAGAAAGGCTGAGATGTTTGCATAATCTCTTCTGTAACAACAACATTCCACAGGCATATTTCTCTTTAAAAAGAAACTCCACACACAGTGGTATTCTGGGTTCAAGGCCTGAATAAAAAGCATCTCAAGTCAAAGTCCTGTTCTAAAAATTGAGATGTAGAGAAGGTCATAAGTTGTTTGACTTCTTTTAAATCATTTATGGGTGACTAAAAGTCACATTGATTCAAAGTACAAATTTACTTAAATCTCTGAACTTGAACTTTTAGCCATCTAACCCAATTCCTCAAAACCTTCCCAAGTGTTTGAGGTTTCTACAAAAAAGTTAAGTCACTGCACAAAACCCAACAGAGAAGGTGAAATGCACAATAAATTTGCTTGCGTAATTTTTCTCAAGGCCTTGAAATAAGAACATTAAATGTACCCTACCACTTTCATGGCATTTTTCCAACATACAAGTCTCCAAGTGTATGAGGAAGGAAACCCCCAAAAATGGAATTTGTTTATAAAATATAGTGCATTTATTCTTACATTTAAACTTCAGTCACCTTCAAAGTATTCTCCATTTCATGCAATATACCTCTTGAGGCTTCTTTTTTTCTACTGCTCAAAACAGTTTATGAATTGGTCAGTTTTGATGCCTGTTAATGCTTCTGTTTTTTGTTTTGTTTTTGTCACCTCTTCAACATGGGCAAAACATTTCCCTTTGAGGAATTTTTTCATCCAGAGAAAAAAATGTTGCTGGGGTGAGATCAGGTGAATAGGAAGGGTCGGGCACCGAGGTCATAGCATTTTTGGTCAACAGCTGCTGACCACTCAGCGTGGTGTGGGCAGGTGAGCTTATAAGTCACCTGTCATGAAATGGGCAAATGCTTTGAAAGAGTCTTCAGAAAAATTCACTGATGCCGAACACAGCCTCTCACAACAACGCCAGTTAACACACTGATACAGATGAGATCCTAGAACACTCACCTAGCATGGAAGCATATGCTACAAGGGACCCACCCTCCAGAATATGATTCTGTTTTCTTTGGGGGGGTCCCCTCTCGTATGTGATACAATACTTATTGTTTAAAAACAGAAATATAAAACCTAGAGATCCAGACCTAAAAAATGAAATGCAAATCTCTGAATTATACTTATTTTGAACATCTTTCTTTCCCAGGACTTTGATCAAGACAGCACTTAGCAAAGCAACATTTTTAAGATGAAATTACTTTGCTTTCTGCATTGAGCCAATGGGAGGTATGCCCTAAATTGTAATGTTTCCTCAATAGAGTTGTATCATATGCTCTTTTAATTTTAGGAATCCAACTATGTGATGAGAGTAACTTTACTAGTGTAATGAAAAATAAAAATTATACACACTATCACACACATTCTTAATTATAGATTGTACATTCATTTGATTATTATACATTAATACATATATATCACTGCACAGATGCATACACAAGTCTAAAACCCCTGAGTAAGACTGCTACCAATAATCTAATGTATAGATGACAAAAGAAAGTAATTGTTGCATGCTTATGTGCTCTACCCTTTTTGGAAATAATGATAATATTTCCAAATAATGATTGTGTTATAAAAGTCTTAGACAACAAAGCTATGATAAGGGGCGAGGTAGTTAAGCAGCTAACCAAAGTGCCCTTTTCCTCTCTCTCTTTTTTCTTTTCTTTTCTTTTCTTTTCTTTTCTTTTCTTTTCTCTTTTCTTTTCTTTTTCTTCCTTCCTCCTTCCTTCCTTCCTTCCTTCCTTCCTTCCTTCCTTCTTTCCTTTCTTCCTTCCTTCCTTCCTTCCTTCCTTCCTTCCTTCCTTCCTTCCTTCCTTCCTTCCTTCCTTCCTTCCTTCCTTCTTCTTTCTTTTCTTTCTCTCTTTTTCTTGGAAGATTAAACATCACTGGAATAAATGGTATATGATGTTCAGGTTAACTCGGATTTCTACATGAGACTTCTTTTCTGGTTGTTGAGGTAAAAATTGATCCCAATCATTCCAAATTAATGCCAGTAAGCAAAATTTAAAATGAATAAATCTTTACTGACCCCCAGCCTCTCTTTTCTGAGAGGTAAATAGCAAAGTATAACTTCCAGCTCTGCCACCAAACCTTAAACCAGCCAGCTGAGGCTTTTATTATCTCACAGACTTCATCAACGGAAACTACAAATATTAATATGTGGGTAAGGCTCTTTACCAGACCAAGCAACCTATTCATTGTCTGAAGTTTAAACCATTCACTATGCCTCTCAGGAAGTTTATTATTTAGGAAATCAAACACACACACACACACACACACACACCCTCCCTCCCCCCACCCCCCCCCCCCCCGCCAAAAGAGGGAGAAAAAAGACTAAGGGAATTTTTTTAGGACACTGACTCTGTGGGTGAACATCAACTAATAAGTAAAGCTATTTTAACTCCTTCTTTAACTAAAAAATCTATTCTTTACAGAAGATTATATTCATACTGCATGTGAAACCAAAAATAAAATGGAAGAACATTCAATTTTTGTTCTGTCCAATAATTACTTTCAAGCTTCTGAAAGTGAAGGCCAAGTTGGTAATAGAACAGTTCCTGCCTATGTGTACTTGAGATTCCAGTATGTGCTGATAAACAGGGTTTGACTGATGTTTTTGACATTAATTACAATGGTCTGCTTACTGGCCTTTTGGACTTGAGTATTTTATGATTCTACTGTAACATGTAGGAGATATACGAGAATAAACAATGAGTTTATTTATCTTTGAGATTCCAATAGCTGCTATTTCTCTGTTTGAAAGTATTACAGAAAAACTGCTAATGGAAAATACGATATGAACTTGCTTTGTGACATAAATAAACTTAAGCTTGTCAAAGTTCTGAGGATCGTCTCTGTCAAAAGAAAGTCTGAGTTCATTGACCTACTTATAGGTTAGAAATGCTTCTAATCAAAAACTAGAAGTATCATAAAGTGCAAAATATTTTATAAACTGAAACAAAGAAAAATAATTTTAAAAGATTTGGAACAAGAAATTGCAACTGTGCCTAGTAAGTAATCTTTATTCTGGTGAATGAAATGACTAATTGTAACTAAGGAGTCAGGGAATATTAAAAGAAAAATACAAATGCATAAAAATGTTACATTATGTTTGGTGTAGCAATATAGCTTTTATTATAAAGGACAAGATAAATTATTTTTTATAAAATATCAGTTTCTCTCACTAAAGAAACATTAAATGCATTGAACATGGGTCTAGAAGATCTAATATCATGTTAGTGGCCAGGCATATATTATTTCATTTAATCTTCTTAATAACCCTATTAAATAAATTCTATTATTCTCCCTTTACATATGACATATGATGAAATTAAGGCCCAAAAGAATTAAGTAGCAGAAAATCACATAGTTAGCAAGTTCAAACCCAGGATGGTTAAACTTCAAAACTAGTGTTTATAAATCCAAGACAATTTGAGCTCTGTTCAGCAAGTTCCTATGTTTTGGAATGTTCAGTTTATTCTAAGAGCTCCAAATATGTGTACTTCATCACAGTTTTTTGTCCCCTCATTCTCTCTTTTTAAATCTCCTGTGGAATAATCTTTGGTTTCATTTCATATTCAAGAAGCAAACTTGTCTATGTGCCCAGAAACTACATGGAATACAGTATGAAACACTTTAATTAAATAAAAATTTTTAATCAATAAAACAAAATGAGAAGTTGATTAAAATTCAACCCATATTATACAAGAAATGGACATGAGTAAGAAAACTCACTCTGGCCTACTACCAATGTTTACAATAGTTTCAGTTTTCATAACTCAAAAATGACTACTTTCACTTTGCATTAACCAATAAAAGTTTTAGGCTACTTGGTTACATGATCAAACCAGTTTGCATAAAATAAGTAATTTCTTATATATAACCTTAAACCTTTAAAAGATGCTTGACTGTTTTTCCAGAATGTCATTGTAGTAAGGGAAAAAATGGTAGGCTCCAAAGACACATTGAATAAGTAATACAGAGAATTGAATGAACATGCAAATTTACTCTAAAACTAACTTTCAATTTTCTGCCCTTTGCTTTAGAAACAGATGCAAAGAGAACAAAGGCCTATTTGGTGACTAAGTGCTAAAACCTTCTGTCATAAGTTTCATGAACTCCAAGTGATTTTCCACAGTTCGAACTTGCCCTGTGAAAACATGCAGAAAGCATCACCATCAATTCGCTGCTTTGTTTTGGACAATTATATCTCCGTGTAATGTTTCCATTCAAGGGAAAAGGACACATTAATCTGAGTCTTTCACAGTATAAACCTGGTGAAACATCACAGGAATCCTCCAAGTAGAACTATTCAACAATTTCTAAATATGGTGAAGTGTAAAGTGCTTATTTTTAGTTATGTATCTACAAGCATATTTGACAACATGCAAAGATTTTCTTTATTTTTTGTGGGGGGTAAGGCCGAGGAGTAGGGATCAGCATTGGGGAGGGATCGGGGGTGGGGAAGTTTAAGCAGGAGATGTATGTACAGACCGTGTTTTTGGATGTATAATAAAAGGTCTACTGGCTGCCTATTTGGATGATGTGAATAAAACTAAAGATGAAATAGGATTACTATCTCATAAAATAGATTAAACTAGTGAACTATAACTCAGACATTATTCATGAATGAGTGAACGCTTCTCTGTTTTTGGACAAATGAAAAACTGCAGATCTTAATGTAACTCTGCCACTGTTTTTTATCTAAGGTCAGTTTAAATCCTTACTAGAAAATGAAAGGCTTTCTAAAGAAACATTTCTGTAACACGCATACAAAAGATACTCAGGGTACACTATGTGCTGGTCAACTTGTTGCATGATTAATGCATACTGGGATAAGGAGGAAAACTGAGATTCAATTCAATTATGGGAGATTTTTATAATCAAGCAAGGCAATTCCAGTTTTCTCTCATTTAGATATAATTTTCAGTTAAATCCTAATAGATGTAACTCTTCACAAGAAGGCATTGCCTGGATGGAGTCCAATGCAGGGAATTTATGTTAATACTCTTTAACGAGACTAGGCAATTTATTTTGGCCTTTTGTCAGATTTTTTTTGAGTAAGTCATGAAGATCCTTTGCTAGGCTTCTGGTTGCCTGAGTCTCCAAGTGCACTTGAACTTCAGAGGCACATTTCAGTACCTTCAGGACACACAAAGCCATAGGAAAAACAGGGAACATCTTTTTAAAGGTTAATTTTATTTAAAATGTGTAAATAAAAGCATTATTTTATATTCAAAGAAACTGATAGTTTAACATATTTCTATCACATTAATATTCATAAATTTTGTGATGGGCTAGATCATTTCAGGCTATACTTGCCAACTCTTAGGTTTCATTCTCCCTCTCTTCTAAAGAGCTTTTCAGTGGGAAAGTTTGAGAAACTCAGGTGATTAATTACATTAGGAAAAACCTAAATTAAATTTTTGTGAAAGGCATTGTACTATTAAAAACGTTAAGCAGCAGGCTTCATGTCAGTATTCATAAGAGACACTTAAACAAAGCAACTCAGTGTTTCTTTTGAATTATTGCTATTGATCAGCTGAGAGTTGCTGCTATAATAGTTTAACTTCTCCAAGCCAGGATACATCTTAATCAGAGTAATAAGAAATTATAGTTTCCTAGTTGAATTGGTGGTATCTTTATTTTTACTGAAAATAAAAATGCTGCTTACGATCACTGGTATCTTGAAGTCAACACAACGTATTAAAAGATCATTGCACTACCTTACTATATTTCCAAGCCTATCCTTCAAAATACAGTTACTTTTAACCTATATTCAAAAGGGATACAAGCTGTGATCAAAGTATACTGTAAACAGTCAATAAATTTTGGGCGTCAATTTCATTTTGCTTTGTTGTTTCTATTTTCATAAATAAATACATAAATACATACATAAATAAACACATATTGGTAATAATGGGCTTTCTGCACACTGAAACATACAGAATGCTTTAGCTATCATTCTATATTCAAAGCAGGCCAACTGATGTATTACTTACATTCATTTTTTAATTGAAGAACATGACACACAAGTGCAGGAAGTGTCAGTTTAATAAACAAACCACTAGTTAAGAACACTTACGTGTCAAGGTTTTACTCATTAAGTATATACTAACCATATGACAACTCTGTCTGGGACTGTAAACTTTCAGGGGGACAGATGATGCAGACTATGTCTAGTTCCATTTTCTGGGAGGTTAAGTAAACTCTCAGTACTTTATTGCTTAATTGAAAAAAAAGTGCATGCTTTTAGATGGTAAAGACATTGACAACGATGATATGAAGAGAGAGGAAGCAGACAAAAGGTGAAGGCCAAAACTGAAATGATCCTAATGGGACTTCTCAATATTGTCTCTTAAGCAGCACAGATTGGCTCTAGATAGCATGAACATAAGCCTCCAGTGGAAGAGCCAATGTGAACTACATAATTTGGTTCAGCCATACAAAAAATACTGGGTCATAGAGCTAGTATGAAAAATAGACACTCACAGATGGAGCCTTTAGATAAGACAGTCAAAGGAAATTCGGAAAATGAGGGATTAAATGTGTAAGATCCTTACAGTTGAGGTAGCTGGTTCCCATGCTCCAACTCACTGGTGCTCATCAGGCTTCCACAGTCGGGGTGACACAGATCCAAGAATAAAAAGGGGCTGTTTTTGGTTTAGAGGGTCATTTTGTAGTAAAAGTCTTATGAATCACAAAACAGGACACACAAAAATAATTTCTTGATGCTGCTCAACTGTAGTATATTCAATATAACCCCAATAAAAACTTAAAATGTTTAAAGAAGCTTTTATTTTTTTATAATCTGCAAACTAATAGCAAGCATAAAAGAACAAAGCTAATCAATCAATTAACCCTCTGCGCACACACACAAACAAATCCAATAAAGAGGAAGGAAATTGTAAATTGAGTGCTAAAAAAAAATAAATGTTTAAATTAAGCTATATTTCCCCTTGGGTCCCTTAGACTCAAAAAAGAAAGTTTCTGTTTCTGTGGTAGGCAGGCCTCTAAGATGGTCCCCATTCTTCCCTGCATCCTAAAATCACATACAGGTGTAATTTCTTCTGGAGCATGGGCTGGATGAAGTGACTTGCTTCTAAGTAATAAACTACTGGAAAATTGAGGGAATGTCACTTGTGTGATCAGGTTGCAAAAGATGTTGACCTTCAGCTTCTTAGAAGACTCTATTGCCTTTTCAGCATGCACGCTTTAATGAAGTAAGCTGTATGTCAGAGAGGCCTATGTGGTAAAAAGAACTGTGGCCCTCAGTTCAACCACCCACAAGGAACTGATTCCAAGTGAGCTTGGAGGCGATTTCCCCAGTCAAACATTCAGATGAGGCCACAGCCCTGGTCAACATCTTGACTACAGCCTCATAAGGAACCATAAAGCAGAGGACTCATGTAAGCTGTGCCCAGATATCTGAACCACAAAATTGTCAGATAATAACTGTGTGGTGTTATAAGCTACTAGTAAGTAGATTATAATATGCTGTATAATAACTTATTATATAGCATAAAAAAACTAATACAGTCTCTAAATGTTCTTCTGAGAGTTAGAATGTATTTAGGTTCATCTAGGACCAACAAAAATTCTATTAACAATGTCTTTTTAATAACACACAGCTTTTTACAAGTACTCAGAAGGTGGCAACTTTATCATCATGTCATTCTCTTTTATTTTTAATGGAAACCAATGTCTACAGAGAAAATTTCCTAAATCTATTTTGAATAAGACAATATTTAAAGATAAGATCACATATACAACACACACACACATTTCAATTCCTGTATACAGCTGCTGATAATTTTAGGAGACTCATAAATAACCTTTTAAAAAATGAAAGTTCTCTAGGTTAAATGAAAGTATTGCTCTAAAAGCTGCCTACAGATTTAATTCAGTAACCTTTGTAGACATAGAAAATATTTGAAAAATTGAGACTTTAAAGGTCAAATAAAACATACTAAATGCATTATAAAATTAAGACAATGTAAAGACTGAGACAAAATAAAAATAAGTGCATTTTTTAAAAAATATATGACAGGATATAGAAAGACTCTGGAATTTAGCATTCACTCGGGGCTATGTCTGACATCACTGGATATGTGAGAGCCCATTTAGTGTGGTGGGTAAGAACATGAATCCAAAAGCCAGTCAGCCTGGCTCCTTTTCCTTCTTCTGCCACCTAACAACTATGAGATGGTGGACAATCTTTTTATGCCTCAGTTTCCTCATCTGTGAAATGAAGATAGAGTATGTACTCAAATGAGGATCATATGGGATGCAAATGGTTTTGAACAGCTTTTGGCTTAATATAAAGTAAAAAAAAGAAAAGAAAATGTTAACTCAACTACAAAAGTGATCATATGCCCTGGCTGGTATGGCTCAGTGGACTGAGCGCCAGCCTGCAAACCAAAGGATTGCTGGTTCGATTCCCAGTCAGGGCACATGCCTGGGGTGAGGGCCAGAGCCCCAGTAGGCAGTGCATGAGAGGCAATCACACATTGATGTTTCTCTCTCTCTTTCTCCTTTCCTTCCCCTCTGTCTAAAAATAAATAAATAAAATCTTTTAAAAATATTTTTTTAAAAAGCAATCTTATGCATATGACTTACTGCTATGCATCATGGTTTTCCCAAGCAAATAAATAAATAAATGCTTCAATAAGACGAGTTTTTTAAATCCTTTACAGTCTTAACAAACCTTGATAATTTTTGTCTTCTATCACTCAAAATACTAAAATAAGTAGAAAACATGTAGTCCTCCATTTAATTATTCATTCAATACTTCTTTATGTTCCAGGTAGTACACTAGATGTTGTTAATAGCAAGATAAAAGCCTGTTCCTGACTTCTGGGAGCTAATCTAGAGAGGCAGAATAGGGTAATGGTTAAGAATCTGAGCTTTGGAAATCATGGTCTCTGAAACTTAGCTTTTTATGATTCTGGACAATTTCCTGAACTTTCAGAGCCCTCGTTTCCTTTCCTTTGATATGGGAATGATAATAGTTGCATTCTCACAAGTTTGCTGTGAGGATTAACTCAGTTTATACAGGTCAACCTTATAGACAGAACTTGGGATAGAGTAAGTATTCAATAGACAGTAATATTGTCAGGAGCAAAGTCAGGCAGGAAAACACACACTATGTGGTAAGTATGATCATTGTCGGGGGGTTGGTGGAAAACAGTGCATAGAGAGCCGGAACCGTAAATGGAAGAAGATGCAAAACAGTATGGAGGGCTCATGAAAAGTTTCCCAGCAGAATCAATCTCTGATTTCACATTAAAGAATTAAG